CATATCATAAGGACACCATGGTTTAAAAAATACTTTAAAAATCAAAATCAGCCTTGCAATAAAACAGCCATGGATTTAAATTTGTTAGTAGATTTTCAGCTTACCTAAATGTGTGCTTAAGCACACGGAATAAAGTTTTTTTTAGAAATGCAAAATTTTAGACATAATTTTACCAAATATTTGAATCAGATTTTTGTTAGATTTCTTAATTTAAACATTACATTCATTTATTGGTCAGTACTTTAGTTTAGACCTATATTTCTGTTATTAGAATGATGACCTATTAGAAAGAAGTACACTTTAATGAAATTGGAGGAATATCACAGGTGGGGGCAACAAGTTTATCTTGTTCTGGGCCGAACCAAGGCTGTCAGCTGGTCAGCCCACCCCCACCGCTAAATTCTCAGCCTTCCAGACTGCAACTCTGGGTCCCTGAGCAAGACCCTTAACCCCACACTGCTCCCCGGGCGCCGCACAATGTCAGCCCACTGCTCCCCAAGGGGATGGGTTAAATGCAGAGATAAATTTCTCCAATGTGAGATCAATAAAGTTAAATTATTATTATTATTATGGAAACAAGGGCTGAACAATTTTCCCCAAAATCTAAATTACAATTATTTTCAACTAATATTTAAATATTTCAAGTTGGTTGTTGCAGAACTTTACTGTAACCTTAGTTTGAAAAATTGCTCACTTTGTACTTGCTTGCATGGATCTGCACGCTAGCTGCAACTTGCTCTTCTCTTCTTTGTGGAAGCAAACCCACCTCAAGTATATTACTGCCACCTAATGGCTGGAGTGAAGAAGTCAGTGTCTTATTATTTTTAAATGTAAAGTGACATAAATTTGATTTTTTTTTTATATTATAGTTGTTTATTCTAGATTTTTTTCATCAAATTTAATTAAAAAAATAAGGACATTCTTTTCTATAATAAGTGAATATTTGACTAGATCTGAATTAAGTGAACAGTTGGAGGAAACCTAGTTTCTCATACCCTGTATGAATACATTCCCTGGATTTCGTTGTGCTTTTTGGTGACCCTTCATGTTCTTCTCTGTCTGCAGTATGACAGGTTGAAAAAACTTCACTCAGAGCTGGAGGAGAAGCTGGAGGCATCAGAGATCCAGATTAAACAGCAGTCTGCTGAATACAGAACCCTGCTGCAACAGAAAGATGTGTGCTCATACATATTTATTATTTATATTTTTTAATTTCGACTTTTTTTTTTGGCAAACATCTTTTAGTCGATCAAAGTCTCTAAAGTTATGTCTGCTCTCCTCCAGGTGGAAATCAGCCACCTCAAAGTACGACAAACTAGCCTCCAAGAAGAAGTCCAGAAGCTGCAGCAGTCTGCGCAGTCTGCCTCCTCGTCAGCGGCCGTGCTGCCAGTGACCACATCTTCCCTAACTGCTACCTCCTCGTCTCCTTCCACCTTCCTGACACGTCACACAGGGTCTCATCATGGCTTCCAAGGCGACGAAGTGGACCTCAGTGATGTTCTGTGGTCGCAGCAAGAAATCAACAGGCTGTCCACAGAAGTCATGCGTCTAGAGGCGGAGGTAGCACATTGGAGGAGAATATCGCAGGTAGAAATAAGGAAAAGAAAACATGTGAAAATAAAGTGTTAAGATGTTAGTCAATAAAAGTTTGCTCTCCATAGTAATGGTTTAGAAATATTTGCCCAGGTTTTGTGATCCAGATAAGAGTGTGTGAATTTGGCGATCACTCTTATATTAACAAGAAATTTAAAATGGTTCAATAACGATAAATTACAATGTGATCATATACCATCATTGTACCGTAGCCTAGAATGGACAGTTTCAGTTCTGCTTCTCAGCTTGCTGTAGAAACTTGTCCTAAAGTTGTAGAAGCATTCAAACCAAATGGGAAAATTTCTGCCAGGATCACTTGCTGTTCGCTTGATACTTTGGCTTCCTGTTGAGATCACCGGGGTGAAATTCTCCCCAGCTCGCTTCACCACCTCATCAAATAGTATGAGTGTCTATCTGCTTACAGGTGTTACACCATATTCTGTCCCCCATGGGTCACAATATATGATGGAGCACACAATACGTTGTAACACCAGATCTTGTTGCCATTGCCATCAGATTCACTCCCAGATCAGCCAATACCACCATCTATTCGCTTCCATCTATCCAGGACCGAGCATCAGGAGCTGCTTTGTCCCTAAAGGGTGAAGACCGACGTGCTCTGGGGACTTTTTGATTGGGGAAAAAAAAAGCTTTGTCTCCAGTGCACTCCTTAAGCCCACGTAACAAACTCATCCAGTCTCCTGATTGGTTAACAGGGAAGTTTAGATTTTTTTCAACTTCCACCATATTGGAAGTGCTACTTTGCTTTGTCCACGTGTCTTAACACCACGTTGCTTCGCTTTGAACACCCAGAATGCACTGCTAATTTCCTTTGCATCGTTGACTTTGCAGTTGCTCCTGAAAGCACCTTTACATAGCGTTAACATGGAAACAACCCATTCCAGTCCATTTGGTTTGAATGTACCTTAAGAAAAGAGGATGATTTAGGGATTTTTGTATTTTTGTTTGTCTGTTCAACTTTTATCAACAGTAAAAGTTCCATTTTTTTATTGTTTTTTTATACTACGTTCTCCTTTAGACATCAACCACAACAGGAGCTGGTAATGGCGACCAGGGAGAGATTCTCAAACTACAGAGGACTATTAAGGTAGCTGTAGTCATTCATGTTGCCAGTTTACTCTTTCTTGTAAACAGTCTTCATTAAAACACTTGGAATGCACAATGCTGTCTTTTAATACTACTTTTTTTTTACTATTATTATTTATGACTAATGATACTGCACATTTTAATCTGTGTTGAAACAGGAGTTACGAGATGAAATGAGTCGAGAGGTGGATGAGCATCAGCATGAGCTTGCAGCCATACAGGATGCCCAGCGACAGAAGTTGGCAGAAATTACACGGCGCCATAGAGAGGAGCTCTCAGAGTATGAGGAGAGGATCGAAGAACTGGAGGAGCAGATACAGAGCGGTTTGATTATTTTTATTATTTTAGGATGTTTTTTTGATGATCATTATTATTTTATTTTATTACCAAATAACAACAGTGATTTATGTCAGAGAAAACAACAAAATATCATCTAACTGATTCTCTACAGGGGGCGGTCACGTCAGTTCCCTGTCAGATTCCTCCAAACTACAGGAGCTCCAGAAGGAAATTCGGTCCCTCCAGGAAGCAGCTGAACAACGTGAGAAGCAGCTGGCCGAGCTATCAGCCAGTCTGGAGGATGCACGGACGAAACAGACCTCTCTGCAGCAGGAAAGGGATGAAGCCCAGGAGGAGAACGCAGACCTGCTGCAGAACTACTCGCGGCTGCAGGCTTCAGTAACTGAACTCCAGACACGAGTACAGGAGCAGGAGGGGAAGGCTCTGCAAAAAAACCAATATGAGCATGAGATCCAAAACTTAAGAAATAACTTAGAAGGTGGGGTTAAAGTTGTCTGTTATACAGACTTTGGTTTACAAGATAAACTTCCATCTTCAAGAATAGCATCTTTGTCTCAACTTTTTAGGTGAAATAATTTTTCCTCTTTTTTTTTTAGCTGCAGAAAAGGAGATAGAGAGACTGAAGAACATTTCAGAGGCAAGTATGAACAGAAGCAATGCGTTTCGTTATAATTATATCTGTATATTTTCTGCTGCTTATTGTTCTTTTATCTTCACTCCAAGGATGAGCCAAAGGAAGAGGTTGCGGACATCTTGGAGTTAAATACCATTATTGGGACGTTAAGGCAAGAGAAGGAAGCTCTGGAACAAGAAAAGGTTGGCTATACGGCTGCAACTAATAATTATTTTGCTATACGATTAATATGTTGATTTTTTAAAAATATTTTTTCAATAAATCGATTAATAATCAGATAGCCAAAGGTTCCGTTAGACGGGTATAGGCTGTACTTTTTTTTTTTTTGGCCCTTTTCAGGCCGATTCTCTAGCCCAGTTTCAGCCTCATTTTGCGTCTTCTTATTAGATGTGAAAATCGCTAACATCTGTGGACTGTTGGAGCGTTAAAATAAAGCAACTTTCCTGAATGTTTTTATCCTCACAGCTTAACCTGCAGCACAGCCTGAAACTAGCAGAGGAGCAGACGGTTGGCCGTAATGCATCGTTGATGGAGTCTGATGAGGCAGAGTCTCTAGAGCATCTGAAGGTAGAGCTGGAGAGGAGAGAGAAGATCCTGAGAGCAACCGAGGAGGAACGCGACACCCTGATGTCTGAGCTGGAGGAGTTGGACCGACAGAACCAAGAAGCTACACAGGTCTGCTCTACAGCAGCGCCGTCTTCATTATCCAACTGTTTAATGATAATTCAAATGATATATCTGAGTATAATCTTAAATAACCCCAACTTTTTGGAACTACAAATCAAATATAAGTTCCAAATCAGACTTGGAAAAATGTCTTTGGACCCCTGGTGAAAATGTATATCAGGTATTTGTTCATCTTTTCAGACAAGAGAGGAGAAATTTCTGTTTAAAAAACTTTAAATGATTAAGACCCCCAATAGTTCTTTCAAACCAATATTTATTTTGATTATTACATTACTTTGATTATTATTTACTTCCTTACCCTGGGGTGTTAATCTGATCTGACAGAGCCTCACTTCCGTAAATTTGTGTGATCCAGGCGGGAAAAAAAACTCAACTATGTGCTGCCACAATGCAGACTGAGCAGATAAAGGATATAAAAAATAAAATGAATAGCAAAAAACAAATTTTCTCTGTAAATATTTACTCAAGCTATAACAGTTTGCTTTGGTCAGACAGAACTACGGCCTATACATACTTATTACTTTAGCCATGAAAGAGATTTTTTAAATTGAATTACCAAACTTTTTCACAGTAAAACAATCTAAATCAGAAATTGACAAATTAATGATTGAACTTCCATGTTATTTTGCCAAAAGAAACAAGTTATGTTAGGGAACCGGGCTGCTATTATTTTTTTTTTTCTATTTCTCCTAGTCTGTATTCAGTGCAATATGAAAGCTTAGGAATTAAGTACCTGCTGATATGTATTTAGCAACGTAATGAGTAATAATTGAGTTTATTTCCATCACTATTTCAGCATTTCATCACAGCGAAGGAGCAGCTCTCTGGACAGTTGAAGGAAGCGGAGGCAGAGCTGATCAGAACAACTGCAGAGCTCAACACCACCAAGGACCTGAAAAGAGCACTAGAGCAGGAGCTGGAGACCCAGAAAGAGAAAATGAGCCAAAGCGCGTTCACCCTTAATGACCTCCACATGAGCAAACAACAGCTGGAACAGACGGCGAAGGAGCTGAGAGATGCACTGGGACGTGCACAGGAGCAGAGTCGGGAAGCACGCAGAGAAGTGGCTGAGCTGAAGAAGAGTCTGCAGGAGCGAGAGGAGGAGTTAGCTGCTGCTGAAGCAGAGAGGCATGTAGCGGGTGGACAGAGCGAGGCTGAGAGAGTCAAGGAAGAGCTGGAAGGGAAGGAGAGGGAGCTATCAGATCTCAGGAAAGAAATGGGAGAAATGAGGAGCGTCTATGAAAAGGGGAAGTCTGAGGAGTACGAGCTGAAGATGGAGAAGAGGAGGATGAAGGAGGAGCAGGAGAAGGCTTTAGAGAAGGTAGAAGAACTAAACAGGCAGCTGAAAGAAAACCAGACGTCTCTTAACAGGATGGTGAAGGAGAAGGATACTCGTATTGAAGCTTTGAAGCTGGAGAAGAATCAGCTTGAAGTTGAGCTGTCCCAGGCAGAGAGAACACTATCAGAGCAGGTCAGACAGTACCAGCAGACCATAGAGGAACTGACCCGAGCCCGATCCCTGGACGCCTCAGCTCTGCAGACCGAGCACGAGACTGCAATCAAACTAAACCAGGAGAAAGATCTGGAGATCGCCAAGCTGAGGAGAGACATGGACCAGCTGGCGTCAGACCATAGAGACACTAACGAGATGCTGTCAATCACAGTCGCAGGGCAGAAGCAGCTGACGGACCTGCTCCAGGAGAAGGACGCCTTTGTGGAAACCTTGAAGCAAAACGCTGCAGATTTACAGAAGGAGATGGAGAACAGGGAATCTGTCATGTGCAAAGAGGTAGAAATCCTCAAACAAGCGATGGAGGAAAAGGATAAACAGCTGGGTGGGATGAAGGAGGAGAACAGCCATTTGAAAGAGGAGATTGATCGACTGAAGGATCAACAGAGCAGACCTCAGCCTCTGGCTGAACCCAAAACACTGGATATCATTACAGAGCTGGAGGCGGAGATCACCCAGCTGAAATCCTCCAGGAATGGTTTGGAGGAAGAGCTTCGGTCCCTCAAAAGATCGTTGGAGGAGCAGCAGGTCTCTATGCAGACGCTGCAGAGCGAGCTTGAACAGGCCCACAGCCGCCATCAGCAGACCGCTCTCAACTATGACCGACTCATTCATGCCAAAGATGAAGAAATAACCCGCCTCCAGCAAAGTTTGGATCTGCTCAGTGAGGGTCACCTTCCAGCTTTCCAGGGACAAGTTATCCTCCAGGAGGAAAAGACGCAATCTCTAAACCAGGAGAACGGCAATGAGAAGCACGACCTGTCCAAGGTTGAGATAGAGAAACTGGTTCGTGGCATCAAGGAGAAAGAGACTGAGATCAGCCAGCTGAATGAGAAGAACCTGTCACTCACCAGGCAGCTGGATCAGCTGGTGGTCTCTCACAACGAAGTTGGCAAACTCTCTCAATTGATCCAACAGAAAGATCTGGAAATCCAGGCGCTTCACGCTCGGGTCACGACGGGACACAACCAGGACGTAATTTATTTACAACAGCAGCTGCAGGCGTTCGCCGTGGAGAGAGAGCAGATGTTAGCTGTTCTTAATGAGAAGACCAGAGAGAACAGCCAGCTCCGGTCCGACTACCACCGCCTCATGGACATCGTGGCCGCGAAGGAAGCCGCTTTGGCGAAGCTTCAGCAGGAGAATCAGCGCCTCTCCAACATGAGCGATCCCTCTGGAAGCCAAGAAATGTTCAAGGAGACAATCCAAAACCTGTCTCGAATTATCAGGGAGAAGGACATCGAAATTGATGCTCTGACTCAGAAGTGTCAAACCTTAGTGACCGTCTTGCAGTCTACAGGAGGCGAGCCAGGCGCTGCATCTGGGGGGGTCAGCAGCAACCAGTTTGAGGAGCTGCTCCAGGAAAGGGACATGCTGAAGCAGCAGGTGAAGAAGATGGAGGAGTGGAAGCAGCAGGTGATTACAACGGTCAAGAACATGCAGCACGAGTCCGCACAGCTGCACGAAGAGCTGATCGCGCTGCAGAGCCAGGTCTCTGCCGACAGCGACTGTAGCTCCAAGCTGTCTGTGGACTACGCTCGTTTGATCCAAAGCTATGAGCAGAAGGAGAAGAGGCTGGGAGGTCTGAGCCTTGAACTTGCACAGGTCCAGCAGACCATCAGTCAGCTCAGCACCACCAAGGACGTTCTGCTGGGTAAACTGGATAGCGTTGTGCAGACCCCTGAGGCGGCGGCCACCCAGTCGAGCAGTCGCTCTCTAACAGCCGAGGCCCAAACACAACAGAATGTCTCTCCTATAAACGACAACCTGCGGAGAGATGCTGAAGCTCTGCAAGCACAACTGGCAGAGAAAGAAAACCTGATAAGGACACTTCAGGAAAACAACCACCGGCTCTCCAACGCAGCGTCCAACTCGGAGAGCGAACAGAAGAGCCAGGCGGAGGAGGTTCGTCAGATCCGAGAGAGACTGGAGTCCCTGCAGAGGTCCGTTAGGGAGAAAGACCTGCTCATAAAAACCAAAGGAGACCAGTTCAGCCAAGTGAGTGAAGCGTTGCGCAACCGTGAAAACGACAACGAGGTGTTAAAGCAGGCCGTGACCAACCTGAAGGAGCGTGCCCTCATCTTGGAAATGGATGCGAAAAAGCTGAAGGAAGAGAACGAGGCGGTGGCTGCTCGCTCTCGAGAAAAGGAGTCTGAGTTTAGAGCTCTACAGGAAACAAACATGCGAGTTTCTCTTCTGCTCAGAGAGAAGGAGTTTGAACTAAGTGCAATAAGCGAGAAGGCGGCCACGGTGGAGAGGATGCTGAAGGACAAAGAGCTGGTCAGTTTGAAAAAAGTCCAGCATTGAGACAATAAATAAAATCCTTAATTGAACGATTTGTACTGACGCTGATTGTGTCTCAGGGTAAATCTGGGGAGCTGAACCAACTCCTGAATGAGCTGAAGTCCATGCAGGAGAAAGCGGTGATGTTCCAGCAGGAGAGAGATCAAATGATGATGGCACTTAAGCAGAAGCAAATGGAAAGCACGGCACTTCAGTCTGAGGTAAGTTTAAACACCTGCAGTTTTAGTTTTAAAAGGGAAGAGAGTGAAACAGGATTTTAGTAATTACATTCACATCATTAAAAAACCTGCAAGACAAACGTTGTTCCTGAGAAGACCTTCTGCTTTTCACAGTTGCAGCATACCAGGGAAAAAGAGCAACGCCTCAACCTGGAGCTGGAACGGCTGCGGAACCACCTGTTGGAGATTGAAGATTCGTACACAAGAGAAGCCCTTGCTGCAGAGGACCGAGAGACAGAGCTGCGCCGGCGGGTGGCACTGCTGGATGAGAAATTGGCCACATCCTCAAATGCTGTGGAAAATGCCAGGTTTGCATATTTCAATTTATCTTTTCACGTTTTTCTGAAACTGCTAGCTGTGATGATTGATTCCTTCTGAGCACATTCTCTTCCATTATTTTTATTTATTTTTTTTATTCTATAAGCCTCCTGCTCTTGTTTCCAGCCAACAGGCCAGCATGCAGGTAGAGTCGCTACAGGAACAGCTGAGCAATGCGGTGAAGCAGAGAGACGACACACTCGCACAACTTAGAACCTCTCAGGAACAAGTCCGACAGTACGCAGTATCGCTCTCCAACCTGCAGATGGTGCTAGAGCAATTCCAACAAGGCACGTTAACAGAGTCGGCTTCTTGTAAAGTTGCAATAAGACTTTATTTTATTGTGTTAATTATTACTCTGCCTTCTTTTTTTTGTCAGAGGAGAAAGCCATGTACTCTGCAGAACTTGAGAAGCACAAAAAGGAGAAGGATGAGTGGAGAAGAAAAGCTCTCCTGCTGGAAGACCAAGCGTCTGCCCTTCAGGTAAATGGGTGCAAAGTAAATGCAGAAGAACGTTGCAGTGAAATGTTCCCATTTACTGATTTTATTTCTTTCAGGTAAACTTAGATGAAGCCAACGCTGCTCTAGATTCAGCATCTCGTCTCACGGATCAGATCGATCAGAAAGAAGAGCAAATTGAGGAGCTAAAGAAACAAGGTGAGATGCAGGTGGATTTTTTTACCCATCCGACTATAAATGCCTATTCAGCAATCATGAATTTGTTCCCATACCTTCTTGTTTAACCCTAGTGTCCTCAACTATTTTCACTTTTTGTATTCCTTTTGGTACTAGTATATTTTAAAAGTTTATACAGATACATTTCTATATAAACCTTGAAGCAGGGGGGATTTACCATTAGGCAATACTAGGCGGTTGCCTAGGGCCCCGAGTTCCTGGGGGCCCCCATAAAACTCTGTTTCTATGTATGATTAATACAACTATTCCTTATTTGTGCACATTAATTATATTTTTGATAAAAATCCTTTCGCTAAAATGCCAACAAAACGCTGATAATATAAAGTGTGTCTCAGCCCCCCCTTCAGTGTCCACCATATTGGATCAGTCCATTTGCTGCACATGTTCAGAAAGGTCCAAACAGACAGCAGCAAACCATTTGAAAAGAAACGATGCAAAGAGCAGTGTTGCTAACTTAGCGCTTTAGTCGCTATATTTAGCCACTTTTCAGACCCCTCTAGCACTTTGATACAAAAAAAAGCACCTAGCACCAAATCTAGCGACTTTTTTCTGCTACTGGAGACTTTGGAGACAACATCTAAAAGCAGCGAACTCTGCTCTCCAGAGCAAGTAGATTGGTAACCCCGCCTCCTGCTCTCCTCTATCTTGTCTGCTGTCATGATTCATGCAGCTATTATTTCATCCAAATGAAAAATGGAGAACAGAGAAGCAGATCATGGCTTGTCTACAGTGAAAAGAAGGACTGGGTTATTTACTTTTGCCGTTGCCTTTTTGGAAACACAGGAAGGAGCAATCAGCTAAGTGAGCTTAGTGCTTGGAAAAAATCTTTCATTCCTTTAGAGACAGCATGAAAAGTCAGCTGAGTACAAAACATAGAGAGGAAAACAAGAAGAAAAGGGACAAGAAGAGAGGGACAAAACGTAGAACAGAGAATGGATGTCTATTCTATTAACATTTCTCTATCTGTAGAATGGGTCTGTTATATGTGCTGTCTTCTCCATTCAGAGGGCCCCCTGCCTGTCTTTGCCTAGGGCCCCACATTTCCTAAATCCGCCCCTGCTTTGAAGTCCAACATTTAATCTATCACACTGATCACACCAAAATAACGGAGCAATCATTGAGGTTTTTCCTTAGAAACAGCCGACCACCTTCCCTCACTGTAAACCATGAATCGGTGAAACAAAATTGCTCTAAATTAAAGAAAATTGATCACTGTTTTTTTTATTTTCATTTTAGCCAAGAAACATCCCCCGAGCTAAGAACTAAAGAATGAATGTGTTGTACCTGGAAAAACATATTAGGGCAAACCTCTGAAAAAAAAACTAAATATAATTTTGGACTACATACTGAGTTATTAGGTTATGAAAAACAAACAGAAAAAATGTCCCTATGACCTCATCTCAAAACTGACCTACAGAGTAAATGTATTTATCCATCTCACTCTTATCAGGTATAGAATTACATCACAGCAAATTCTCAGACTGTTTTTGTTTCAGGGTTATTTAGTTCAGGCCTGCTTTAGTTCAGGCCTGAATTGAGCCTTTATCTTTACCTTACTGGTCTATATATACTTACTATGGCATATCTGGAAAAAATAACTCTAGCTTCCTTGCTGCTGGCCATCTTTGTCCACATTTCATGTTTTTTATGTTTGTTAAAATAGATAAAATTCATGAAAAACAGGTATTGCATCCTTTACCACAACATTAGATGTTTTTAGTTATTTAGTTTGCCACCATAGATACACCAAGCGAAGATCTAAAGGAGTAATTGTGCTGATTATGGCCTAAACTTCTGCAAAGATGGATATTATGTTTGCAGAAGAAACATTAAATATGTTTCATTAGATTTTCTTTGAGGAATCCCCGCAGTAATCTTTGTTTGTGTTGCAGTGGAAGTGAGGCAGGAGATGTTGGAGGAGGCACAAAAGAAACTCATGAACCTTCTGAACAGCACAGAAGGAAAGATAGACAAGTAAGTTGAGCTTTTATGTCACATCTTTTTATTAATACTGTTAGATTAGGATTCTGGAAAAAAAAAAAAAACTTTAGATCAGAAATGTCCAACACACGCGTTATACAATGCCTTAACACATTTCTGTCTACGAAGAATTTTAAATGTTTGCATCCTGGTAGTCTTGAGACGATTGTCACTATATAATTAAACTGGATTTAAGAAATAAAGTTTTGCAACATGGCTGTAAATTTGATACCAAAACAGTTTTACAGTTTTTTGCTGTTAAATGTTTGGAAAATGAACTGTTATCTAGTCTGCACTGGTCAGAAATTGTGAATATCTGATCTTCAGGTTATAGTAAAGCTTTTAATAAGTTACTGGTATGGAATTTGGCTAATGATAAACTAGGAATGTAAAATAACAGCAATGCAAAATATTGATTTTTACTAAGAAAAGCAAAGAAAATATGTTTATAAAGTTAACTTTAAATAATATATATATATAATTTGCCAAATACTCACAATTTGTTCTGCTAGCATTGCATTACTGGAGGAGTTAGAGGCATTTCTTAACTCTGAGTTGTTCGAAATGCTGCCAAAATTCACCGGTCCATCATGGTCCGTCACTTTCATCAATAGTGAAGGTTTATCTTTTTAGTTTGTGTTGAGTCTTGTTGCCATTTGCTAATAGGGATGGGTCTTTGTGCATTCAAGCAATTTTGTTTTCTTTTTATTTATTTTTTTATTCAACAATGAAAAACAAAACAAAAACACTAGTGTTTTTTTTTTGTTATTGACCCAAAACCAGAAAAATAAACCATTACATTCCTCCTCAATGGCGAGTTCCTGAAATCATGATGAAATCTGTAAACTGTTATCAATGAGGGCTGATCCTTTCTGGTGAACTTTGAAAAAACTTAGCAGCAGATCTAAAAAAGTTTAGAAATAAAATGGCCTGGTTCTTGTTTTCATTTTGAGATGGAAGGACTAAATGTTTAACCCTGAATTGTCATTATTCAGCCATGTGTTTGCTGTTCCGTCTGCAGGGTTCTGATGCGCAACCTGTTTTTGGGCTACTTCCACACACCCAAAACGAAGCGGGCCGACGTGCTTAGGCTCATGGGAAGTGTGCTGGGACTGAGCCGAGAACAAGTCGATCAGGTTAGAGCTCCAGCTTGCTTTTATCCTCAGAAAAAAGCATATTTGAAAAAATACCAGGAAGCATACCAGGAAAAAAATATATATTGTCCAATTATATATATATATTTTACAATTCTGCTATCTATGTGAGGCAATTAGAAAACTGAAAAATGTTTTTTTGAAAAAAACAAGTTTTTATTTTTTGGATATCACATGTCTACTACAGTGGACATCGGAACTCCATACATTTGAAAACTGAGCCTTCATGGCAACGAGTTACTCGAAAAGAAAAACCTTGCAACTTTAACACAACAGTGAGCTTACCATCAAAATAACTGTCCATTACTTTTAGTTTAGTTTTGCTGTTTTTATATAGTATGATAATAATAATAATAATTAAAATTTCTTGATCACACACTGAAGAAATTTAGCTCTGTATCTAAGGATTATCTAAGTAGTACTTTGAAGTCGATGAACTTCTTTGGTTACTTCGCAGTCACTCTTGCACTGAAGCCATGAATTGGTGATGGCCAGGTCAAAAAAGTGGAAAATTGCATGCACTGTCCATTTACGAGTGTGAGATGCCATCTTGTAGAAACTCAACATCTGGTCCCTCGAGTCCACGCCACCCACGCTTTTGTTGTACTGAGCAACTAGACAAACACTTTTTTCTTCTTGGACAATTTTCTGCATGTCTTTTGAGGTTCAATGCCATAGGCAGAGGATGCCATAACAACTGGCTTGTTGTCCAACAACTTTATGACTGCAAGTTCGGGAGTTCTTCATCTGAATACATCTCCGAATCCCCTCTTCCTTCTTTTTAAAATCTTTGTACCCTAGGATCTTGTTACTGTTATTCATTATGGTTCCAGTTCCTGTCAGGCCTTTTGTTATGAGGATGTCAGGGAGGTTTAATATTATAAAGAACCAGTCAAAGAACAGTTTATGTTCCTGCGGGGAACAAACTCTGCCAAGTAAGAGGTACACACTGTTGCACCGGGCATTAACCAGTAAATAGACACATTTGCTCATCCATGCACAATTTCCCCATTCTAGGAAGACTCGGATTTTCTTGCCTTATTTTTGTCAAGAGGGGCCTGATTCTCATCAAGAGATCAGTTCTTTTATCCTCGTTTGACACATCAAGGTCGGTAACGACCTTAAAGGAATTTCTCAACTTGTAAAAGAGATTTCTGTTCATGGATTTTACCACAACTTGAACTCTGGTGTTTGAGGTTCAATATTTTTTTAATGTTTGGATATACTAGACAGCCCATGTAAATTGAGTTTCCAAAAAACGTCTTCAGTTCTTCACACATCGTTTTTAGTGTTGCTCCAGACACAGGACTTCACGCTGATTTGTGCACTGCACCATTTGTTCAAACACAGAGTCATCAATTTACTGCTTAAAATAGTCCTTTGGGGTCCTGTTTTGGCGTGTCATGACATCATTGTTCTGAATAATGGGATGATCATCAAAGTTGGAATTTGAATATAAAAAAAATAGAGAAAAATAAAGTCTGTTATGAATCGTATTATTAGTTATATTTTATTATAGTTATTTGAGAAAATGTTACCCTTTTAGAAAATAAACTCAAGGCCTTCACAGTGGTCGCCTATGGGATGTGGACTGTCCTGCTTGATCTGACTCGTCTGCATCTGCTTGCCCTGTCTGAATTTCATTCTCAGAATTCTCTAAATCATCTGCGTCTGATTCTCCCTCAAACATTGGATCTTGATTTTTCTTCATCAATATCACTCAATATCTGAGTTTTTATCTACAATCCACAGTAAAATTATCTCTACATCTGAAGATGAGTATCTCAACTCAACTCAACTTTATTGTCAAATGTGCTAAATGTAAACATACAACACAGATGAAATTTCCGTCCTGCCGGAATCTTTCACACAAAATGGTGGAAATAACTTCAAATGTCCACTACAGAGGACATTTTTTAAACACTGAAATGCTATTTTAAAAGACTTCAAATAATTAAAAAGATGTTTCTATGTGTTGTTAGGACACTTGTATAAGATATGCAAACAACCTTTCAAGGCTAAATTAGCCAAAAAAAAAATAATATTTTGCACTCACTTTTCGTCTTCCTGTAAAATGTGCTTGAATTGATGGACGCCGTTTTCTGAGTGAGGAAGAGAAATGTACCAAAGCCCCACCCCTTCACATTTCGTATAATTGAAAAGCCCTAAATGTCCTCTGTAGAGATACCAAAAGGAGTTAATCATGTAATATGCAGTGGAAAGGAGATATTCAGATTTATAAATGTCCTCCATAGAGGACAAATTTGAATTACTGTTAGTCAGGAGGAGGCTAATTTCTTAAAGAAACGTTGTCTTGCCTGCAAGCTGAATTCTGGCTGTATTTGTTCATTCACAAACACACAGCACTTCATCTTGTCCCACTGGCCATTAGAGAACAGACCCCAGGATGGGTTCGCCAATCAGAGTATTATGGTTCATGGTGGGAAGAAGGCAAGATATGCTGAGTCCAGATCAAAACAAACATGGCAGCACGGGAGGAAGCACACACACACACACAGCTGCTGCTGTCACATCTGTTTAGTCTGATTTCATCTTAGAAAGGGAGGAACAAGAAAGTGAAGAAGACTGTTGAGTGGAAGCAGCAGGTGGTCAAAACTCCAGTTTGGTCTCTTATGTTGTACTGAATGAAAGTTTTATTTTTTAACTGTGAAATGCAGTCAGCAGCTGAGTTTCCATTGTGCCCAAAACCATGTGGATCTTCCTTAGATTTCAAAACTGTAAATTATTGCAATTGTGGTATTTCCATTAAATAGGAAGTACAATTAAAATTGTGCCTGAATACGTTTTTTTTTATGCGATAACTGATACAACATGCCAGCGGCGGATGTAGACACAGGAGATGTATCCATATTTCAGCCACGGCTCTAGTGCTCATGAAAATACTTCTGTTTAAAAAGCATCTTTCTTTTAACTTTGAGCCGAAATCATCTCACTGTGTGTCACGTCACGGAGTTTTACAGTGCCAACCAGACATGGGCAATGTGGAGTCAACAAGTCATCTCCATGTCATGTATTGGTTCTACCCAGCCACTGAAGCAGGTGAGTCCAACTTCACCGTGAATTAACCTGTGCAGATTGGACTCACCTGGTTAATTGGCTGGGTAGATTAAATACATGACATGGAGATGACTTGTTGACTCCACATTGCCCATGTCTGGTGCCAACACAATGTGGTTAAGGTAGGTGCTTCCTGAAGGGAACCTTCTTATGTAGATCATCTCAGGTTGCTCATCTTTACACGTCAGGGGAGGGGCTGCTTCTCAGACAGCAGAACTCATGAGGATTCATGCATGAATCACGGGAAATACTCATTTCGATGATGAAATGCCATTATAACGAAGGTAAAAGCTCAAATTAGTTGATTTTTTTTTTTTTTTTTATGATATACACCCTTTACACAAGTTTGAAAATCTGCTTTTCTGGATTAAGAAAAAATAGAAACGCATTTCTGCTCTCTATTAGCTTTGGAAGAAGAAACAAGTTTAAATTTGTTTTGCAAGAACCAAACTATGATTATTTAGCTAATCTAATAAACCCATTAGAACCAGAAAGTTTTTTCTCTGATTAAGATCTAATGATCTTCATATGAAAGCATCCTAACCCTCATTGGTTTAGCTCTAAATCTAGATCACATGACGTTTTCTTCAGAGCCATTTTTTCTAATAAAAAAGACACTGCCATGCAATTAAAGTCCAACAGCCCCTAAATAAGTACTCAGAGCTCAGGCCTGAAAAAGAAAGTATCGTTCCTTTCCAGATCTTTTTGGCTGGGGGCATTATGGGAGTCCATCCAGGGATTCCGAGGAGTATTACCCAACACCCTTAAAGGGAAACGCATACAAAGTAACAGGCAATCAGCCCCTTAGAAGAGCCACTTTTATTACCTTTAAGCTCCCTGTATGTTTTTCCCCTTCTTTGCCTCATCTCCTGTTAAACTATTTAAAGTTTCCATTTTACAGAAGCCAAGAGTCCCATAAAAATCTTCAGACTTTGAAGAAAGCAATTCAGTTCCTTTTGATTTGTCTATTAATCCTTACTCTTCCAGGCGGCCTAATACTAACCCAATAATTATTTACAATTTTACAGATGGTGAAGAATTATAGTTAATACAAATGAAATGAGTAAGATAATTTGAGGAGTAAATTATGTTCATAAAAGGCTTTAAAAAACTTAAATTATAGCTTTTATATAATAGGATTAAGTGCAGAATTCTAACACTTGTTCAAATGCTGGACGTTTATACTTTATAGTAGTTAATTTATCTGGATTTAAATCTTTTTTTTAGTAAATTATTCTCTTTTTAATCATTAGGCAAATCAAAGTTTACATTGATGCTTCAAATTTAATCTTTCTTTTTTATGAATGACCCCTGAATGCTATCTGTTCCTTGTTTACTTTATCTTCTACATTTTTGGCACGCTAAAAGTTCTTCATCGTTCTTTGTATGATAATACTTTGGTCTATACTGAAACAGAGCTGCCCTACCCCTGAGAGTACGATGCTCATTTGCCTGGATGAAACCAAAGCTTAAAGACTATTTCATTGGTGTTTATATGAAAGAACAACTCATAGAAGCGAATAAATTAGAAAATGGTTTCACATTTTTTCTTTTTACAAATATCTGATATTGTTTGGTATTAATTTATACTCTCCCTTCTACTCTTCACTAAATGACCTCCAATAAAAAAAAAACATATTTTATAATAAAGTCCACCTGATTGTCAGTGAATCTCAGTTCAAATCCAGCTGTTCAGAGAGCGTTTGTCAGAGAACATTAGTAATACCAAAAAACTAAGAGAAAGCTCCTTAATCTACCATCTTAAAATGGAAAGTGTTGCAACGTTTAGATGAAGCTGCCATGACAGCTGGCCAGCTATTAATCAGTTACGTAGAGTGACTCTGGAAGAGTTGCAGATACCCATTGCTCAGGTTGATAAATCAGCAGTTAGTTGTGCTCTTTACTATTTTGATTATTGAAGAGCTAGAGAAGTAAAACCCAGAAGTAACTGTTAGCTTTTTCCTTAACTAACTTATAACCTGGTATTTTTCTATGCTTCTGAATTGTCTTTACATTCATGTTTAGTCATTTTAAAAGGGGAAAAAAGTAAATAGAGCTTATCTGGACTTCTTTTCATACTCTGGTCCTTGCAAGGGGACACAGGAGAATTTGACTTGTGTGAATGAGTGTTCATGCATATGTTGCGTTAACAACATTAGCAGTTTGCCATCATGCTCTGGTCTCTTAATCAATGGGTAAAAAGTTAAACAAGTAAAAACTGTTACAGACTGTCTTTAAGTGAGTCCGTTTTTAGTGGAAATGGAGACGGGTGAGGTGAAAGCAAGCAGGTTAATGTTGGTTCATACATCAAGGAGGAGGAAAAATGCCCCTGTGGTCTTTTCTGATTTGGAAATATGAAACAGCGATGTAAAACTAAGCCACTGTCACACCCTGGATTTTTCAGCAGGTTTTAACTGAAGTCAAATGGCAAAAATATTCACAGTGTATTAAGTACCATGAGGGGCAGGAAGGTCTAAAGTCAATCAAAGGGGACGGTGTCCTGCAACTTTTTGTTGTTTCCCTGGTTTAATGCGTCTGAATCAGTTGACTGCAATTCAGTAAATTGAACTGGTTTGTTAATCAACCATCAATGGAAATCAGCTTTGCTGAAGCAGGACAACATCTAAAATCTGTACAACAGTGACCCTCAAGGACATTCTTTGTACCCCCAGATGTAGGAGATGTTTCCTTCATCAGATGATGGGCCCTGAATGTGAACTTTGATTTATAATCATTTTTAAAGTGAAATGTGATGGTGCTGTGGGGATGGTTTACTGTCAGAAAGGATAAAGTTATAAAAAGAATGGATGGAGGCAGACTAGGTTAAAGCTGTTAGAGGTTGCAGACTTGGTTTGAAGTGCAGATTCCAGTAGCACAGTGACCCTAAACAACCTAATTCAGATTAAGATTTTCTTCACCGATATTATCCCTGCAGTCTGACTTTTTTTTTTTGTATGTCCTTTCTCCAGATGTTGGAGGACGACGGACGCCACGGGGTTACTGGTTGGGTATCAAGCTGGCTGGGAGGCAGAGGAGCGCAAAGTGTCCCAAATACTCCACAAAGGCCGACCAGTGGGCAGGGCCTGAATTCTGTAAGTTGAAAACTAGCCATCATCTACACGTATTTCCCAGTGATTTGATTCTTTAAAGTAGCTCCCTTGTTGTTGCAGTCGTTCTCTGAGATGTTTGTAAAGTTCTTGGAGATGGAGTCGACCCCGTCCCTTCCGGCGCCAAGGCTTCCGGTCCATGACATCAAGCATCTAAACGCCCCGCCTCCCGGGAGAAGCGGTGGCTCTACTTCAGGCAGCACAGGTAAACTCAGTTTCTTTACTGTGATCCTGACCCAATCAAAAAGTGAGACTGTCTTCTGAACGATATTCCAAAGTCAACACACGTTCTTGTCATAGGAGCTACGGCTGGTTTGAGGCGAGCTGGTGAATCCAATCCTTTCCTGGCTCCTCGTTCCGCTGCGGTGCCGTTGGTGGCTGGTTCCGGCTCTGCTGGCTCAGGCCACCTGTTGATGAAGCCCATCAGCGACGCTCTGCCCACCTTCACCCCTGTGCCTGTCTCAGCTGAGGCCAGTGCTGGAGCTGTGCTCAAAGACTTACTAAATCAGTGATGAGCTCGACTACAAGTGCCACACAGATGTCTTAATTTATCCAACATGAATTCAGTCTAAAAGACTGAGGTATTTGAGCATCTCTGCTCTCTATTACTGCTCATTTTACTTCGAGCAATAAGAAATGATCTGACAGTACATTAAAGCAAAAAAAAATACTTTGAAGCTAAAGCAGGACTCTTTAAGGTTCGATTTCACTCTATGCAAAACACTTTCTACACATGAGTGAAACCGTTTATTCCTCAGTGTAACTTACACTTCTGGACTTGCAAATTGACTTCCAATACAGAAAGAAAGAAATGAAAACCTTTGTTAAACCCGTGTTAAACATCCAGAGTAAATCCAACAGATTCTGAACAAAAGTGACCTTATGAACTTTTGCAGTTGAAAGTGTCGGCTGAGCATCCATATGCAAGAGGAAACCTGCCCCTCGATTTGCATTTTAACAGCTTGTATTTTCTTGTTCCCTCAGCATTACAATTAGTTTAGTTTCTTCTGATCCAGGATTCAACTCAAAGCTCTGGCTGCAGCACACTACATGGAGATTTATGTGGGTCGGTACATCTGTTCAAACCATAAGGATTTTTTTTTTTTTTTTCCGTTGGAAAGTCTTGTGTTTTCCAGACAGCCAGACTTTGATATGCAACATGCACAATTATGGCTGCTGACTGTGGTTTTATCAGACTGCTCTTTATGTTCACATATTGCACCATTATAGATACATATATGTAAATTGGTATTATATATTTCGCTTTTTTTTTTTTTTTTTTTTTTTTTCTTCCAGTTATAGGCACAAAAGAAGGGTTGGAAGTCAAGTGCCTGCATTTCTGTAAAGTGAATAGTTGTATAATCAGAAATGTAAATGTTTAATATAAATATATATATATATTTACAAAATGTATAAAATAAAAACAAAGAGTGAAGTTTTGGGTAATCTGATCAGTGGAGGCCAGCATGTGACTGTGCCGCTCCACATTTTTGTACAGGCATCAATCAGCCACTGCAGGAATGTTACACAGGATGAGTCCAGGTGTGTTGATGAAATGTAAGAACTCTAAATCCTGACTGGTACCGGTAAATTCTGTTTTGTTTTGTTTTTTGGTTGATTTTATGTTTATTTTTTTCTGTGGATGGGTGTAAAAAAAAAAATGTTGAAACAGAGAGCTAAGCATTCGCTTTTCCTCAGACGTTCTGTTAAAGTCGATACCCATGATGCCCTGATTGGGATTTGACATTAAATAAAGGCGCCACGTTGGTGACCCATCTATTGAAGATTTCTTTCTTGCAAACATTTGCAGCATGTATTAAATGTGAGCTCTGAACCGACACAAATAGTAAAAAGGATTCACAGTTTGTCTTAAGGTAATTAATATCAACCGGATTTTCCTCTTTGTGGGTGTGATATAACCTGTAGCTTACAAATGTAAAGTAACAAG